AAGAAATATTATTTTAATAAGAAAATAAATGAAAAATATATAATATTTTAATTTACTAAAAAATATTAAATAAAAATAAATAGAGATAATTTAATAAATTATCATATTTTATATATAATATAGATATATATATATATTAAACATTTTATTAATTATAGATTGTCTTATTTAAGGTAGGCTATAAAATCTAAAGTATGTATATGTTTGTGAGTATTTTAAATATTTAGCTAAAATTTAAATAATTTTTTTTATAGTAAAGTTGGCTAAATTTCAAGTGAAGCACTTTTTACACATTAAGAAAAAAAAAATTAAAGGTCACGTTATCATTTGTCATCCAACAAATTTTTTTAAATCATTTTCATATATATTATAATACATTGACTCATTGAATAATAAAAAGACTAATTTAATAATTTTACAATCTATATGAAATTTTAATTGATTCATTTGTTTTATTTTTGTATATATATAAAATTTAACATTATTAATTGAATTAATTTATGATCTTAATTGTAAGATTATATAAATAAATATATTTTATTTCACATCCACATACTTCAAAATTTTTATTATGCAACTAATGAGTTTAATTGTAAATCTTCATTTCTTTATGAATTGAAAAATTGGTTGGACATGCATGATTGGCATGCAGTGTATTATTAATAAGAGTGTAACAAATAAAAAAATTACTTTTAATATTATTTAGAGTTCACACTTTTATATGTAGATATCATAGATGATACATGTATTTATCTATAATAAATACACTCATAAAGTACAAATAATTATTAAATAGATGCTTTCATGATAAGAGTAAAAATTAATAATCATATACTTAAAGAATATAAACAAATAACAGAAAATAAACTATAAAATTATTGATTCAAAGAATATAATAATTGGTTACAAAACTAACAAAGCTTTGATCATTCAACAAAACATGTACAATTAATCATGTGATTAAAATATTTTTCACTATCAAAATACAAAAATATTCTAGAGCATTCTTAATTGAAAAAAAAAATTATATTATTCAAGGAAAAATTATAAAATATATTGATAGTAAAGTTTTTAAATTTCACAATTGAAATTAGTAACATAACACACATACCCTTTAAACTTCAGAATATATTAAAAAAGACTGATTGAAAAAATAAGTGAGTGATATTAAAAAAAAAAAACCTAATTGAAAAACTGAGTGATGTGTTAATTTTTAACCCACTTGTAGAATTAAAAAAAAAAAAAAACTCAATTAACATTATATCAAATAATTTCTCTTCTTCAAGATTAATGTTTCTTAACAATATTGACTATGGATTTATAAAATATCTTAAGCAAAAAATATTTGAAATTAAAAATAAAAAAATAAGGATTGATTGAAATTAACTTGGATGTAATATAAAATCAATCTATAGAAGACAAAATAAAATCTAAGTTTAGTAACAATTCACATATACAGGAGATTATATTCATAAAAGCAAAGATTTATTTAGTCATTGTAATGTTAAGATGTGATTGTATAGAGTGATTAGAAATATTATAATAAAATAAATCAACCATTGCAATCATTAAACATATAAATATATATTTATCATAAAAAATAAAAAAATTCAAACATACAAACTTATCACAAATACATGTATTACTCTTTCTCAATAATATTTTGATAATTTAATTAATAATTTTGTATGAACTTTAATTTTAATTGATCTAAATTAAATAAATAAATAATATAAATGTATTTAAGGACTCATGATATTTACTATTAAAGTAGATAAATAGTAAATTAGGTTGTATCTTGAAAAAGAAAAATTTTATGTTTTACTTAAGATAAAATTAAATGCTTTTAAGGCATAAATATTATGATATAATAATTTAGACTAAAATATTGACTTATTGAGCAATAGAGGAAAGATTTTATCTATGTTTTGTTCAATATCCAAGACTCATAGTATACCATAGCCCATAGGATGAGAATATGTTTTAAATGAATTTAATTGAATTATTTCTTATGAAATTGAACAAAAAAAATCTTATAAAAAAAGTAAATTTGGGTTAATTTTCGACAATACATCCACCATATCACACAAAAAATTTTTTAATTAAGTTTAATTTGATATAAATTCTATTCGTAAATTTATAATTGATTTAAATTTAAATAACTAACAAATAAAATGTTATATATTTAATGGCAAATAATTTTTATTAAATAAATAAATAAATGCTAGAAATTTAAAGGTAAATTTGTTATTTTTTAAAATTCATAGGGATATTTATGCGATTCACTTTTAACACTTTTGGATTAATTTAAATAATTGACTAATAAATTATATATATTTAATGGAAAATAATCTTTACTACATAAATAAAAAATGCTAGAAATTTAAAGGTAAATTTGTTATTTCTTAAAATTTGTAAGGATATTTATATCGTTCACTTTTAATAGTTTTAGAGTTCAGACTTTTATATATAGATAGATGATATATATATATATATATATATTCGTGTCATATTTTGAACTTTAAAATTGTTTTTAATAAAATTTTAATTTTAAAATATTAAAAATCAGTAATTAAAATATTTTTAATAAATTTTAATTTAAATGACTTTTTATTACTAAATTCTCATTTATTCAATTTTTAATAAATTTTAATTTAAATAATTTTTTATTATTAAACTTATTATTATTATTAAACGTGTGTTTTTATTTTTTTTATCATTATTATTTTAATAATTTCATTATTGATTTTCATTTTATATTAAATTTGTTGGAATTTTTTTAAAAAATAAAAGGGTATACTACAATTAAAATAGAGGTTTGATGAAAAATCTATCTTTAATAGAGGTTTAATGAAAAATCTATCTTTAAATAGATATTTTTTTCATTATTTGTTCTACTTTATAAATTTATATTTATATATAATTAAATTTATTTAATTTAAACTTTAAAAAAGCATATCAAAAGTTAGCTAAATTTTTTATTAAATTGTATCGCTAAATCTTAAGAGATATACATATATATAATATATCTTTCATATAAAACTTTTTACTCACATGGTAACTAGGTCTTTGGGACCAAAGTCAATTAATAATATTAATAGTAAATTTATTATTTATTTTAATATAAGTAAATATAATTTTTTTTAATAATTAAAAGAGTTAACTTCAAAACAGTGATTGATTTCTTAATATAATTATCTAAGTAGAAAATTATTAATTGAAGTAAGATTAATTATTTTTGATGAATTTTTTTAAAGTGTACCAAAAATCATTAGAACCATCTTTTAAATGTATTTATACCAATGTTACATATTTTGGCCACCACCAATGTTACATTCATTCATAAAAATTTATGTTATTAATATTGAAAATAAAATCATTATAAATCATGTAGGTTCTATGTGACAAGTTTATTAATTTGATAATTATAATTTCCTTAAGAAAAATAAGTATTAAGATTAAAAATTTATTTTATTTCTTTTTAATTTGTAAAATAATGTATTTTAATATTTTTATTTAATAAAAAATTTCAAATAAAAAAATAAACTTCCAATTAATAGATCGTATAATTACATTCAATCAATGAAACACCAATAAAAGATTATGCTAAGCAAAAAATGAAATAAAAGATTGATTAATTACGTATAACTTTATTTTTTCCATATGACAAATAAGGGTAGTTCTATATGATATTTCAATAAAAAAATACAAATATATTGATTTCAAATTTTCTAAGATTAATATACAACTTTTTTATTAGGAGAAACATTATATACTCCTTTATTTTCTCCATTGTATCAATTAAATAATATTCACTATTATATCAAAATTTTTAAGTTTACCATGTTATGTAATATTTGTTCAAAAATATTGAAATTCATCAAATTAATTATCGCTATTAAATTTAATATAAAAATATTAGGCTAAAATGACAAGAAAAAAAAAACCCTTAAACTTTATCACTTTACTTAAGTAACCCCATACAATTTTATTGTACCCAAATAACCTATTAATCTTTAATGTGCACTTAAATAAATGCTTAAGCTCTAATTTGTATTCAAATAAATTCTTAATCTTTAATTTGTACCTAAATCAATTATTCACACAAAATCAACTTTTGGTTTGAAATAAAAATTTATTTGAATACAAATTAAAAGATAATGACTTATTTTTGTATAATATAAGTATGAGAAATTATTTAGAAAAGTAAAATAATTCAAGAACTTTTTTGGTATTTTAACCAAAATATCACTATGAATTATAATGTAACTAAAGGCATTCATTAATAAAATTCATTTAATAAATCTTTATTTAATTATATACTTAGCATTTCAACAATTTTGAATTTTTTTTCATAATTTTGAGAAAGTTTAAGACGGAAGATCAAAGATATATTAGATTGAGTCAAGTTTTATTATTTACTTTTATTTATAGTACAATCAATTATTTACTTATGCAAATAATTTTGACTCAATAATTAATATATGTTTCTTTTTGTTTAAAAATGGCTTCAAATTTTCTTAAATACAAATAAAAAAGAGTTTACTTAATTATTTATAATTTTAATTTCCATTTAAAAACATTCTTAAAAATTAATTAATTAAATCTACCATAAAGATAATAAAAATAAAACATTAAAAATGAAAGAAAAAAGCTTAAAAAAGAAATTTTTAAATTTTTACATAAAATAAATAAATAAATTCTAATTGACTTACTATTTCAATTCAAATCTTGATCATGTTCAATCATTTTAGTTTTTGAATAATTACTAAGTTGTTGATTTTTCTAAAATCAATTAAAATCGAATCATATTAATTCATTTTTATAATTTTATATATTATATTAATTTTTAATTAAAATAAAATTTAAAATGAGTAAAAAAATTTATATATACTCAATTTAGTTTTGAACTGTTTTAAATTTGAATTAATTAATCATATTATTTTTAGTTATATTTTTATGATACTAATAATAAACTTCAAAATAAAATAATAGCATAATATAATAAAAAATTAAGTGCAAAAGTGATTTTTAGTCATGGGCTAAACGACCAACAGACACAGCATTTTTCACAAAGGGCAGCGATGGTTCAAACACTGCTCATCCCATTTTTCCATCGTTTATCAGGCTGCCACAGGAAGCTTGCTTTTGCGCCACATCCAATAGCTTGCTCTCAAAGAATCCACGTGCTCCAAGACGTAACAAATTGCTTTTGCCAGGTCAGAATCTAGTTGGTGAGTGTCTGAAGTCCACAGAGCATCCACAGCATCTCTGAACTCTTAGCTTGGTTGAAAACCACGACATAGAAGATCCAGAAATGTATTAAGAGCAAAAACATACTTGCTCTTGGTGTTAATTATCTTCAAACATACTAAGGAGACCTGAGGATCGTTAATCCAAACCTCAATGTTGTCTTTGTAAAGACCCCGGGGGCATCTTCATGCGCTCTCATTGTCAGGATTATGATGTTAAGAAAGTATTTGATAGAGACTGAGAAGAACCATGGCAGATGGTCTGGTATTATCATTGTCATCGTATATAAGGTTAGGATCCATACAGCAGTAGAGGATAATTCATCCATGCATGATTCCAAGCAGAATTATTAAAAATATCTTCCTCAAGAAGATTCTGACAGTAATCAAGTTCATCTTCCCAGCCTCCCAGTGCTTGCAGCACCCACTACATACAAAGAGGGAAAAATATACCCACTAATTAATTTCAATTTTCACATAAACTATAATAGTTGCTATGGAGCTTAGCCACTTCCTAAGCCAATGAAAAGTCAGGAAATAAAAGAGGTTTCAATGGGTCCTTTCCATTATAATCTAAAATAGATGTTTAACCAACCTGCCTATGTGACCACGCATAATAATTTTTGGCAACAAGTGATGGTATCTTCCTAGTAAGTCGAAGTTCCTTAGCTCTAGCATCGGTTCCCAATCTCTCAACAACCCAACGCCGGTGATACATAAAGAATTTTATAATAAGATTTTTACAGTGAATGAGGTACGGAAAAGAAATTAAAGAGATCATTAAACATGAAACCAACCAAAAAGTTTAATAAAGACCTGAAAATTCATGATCTGGTAATAGATTTAAACAACATTCATGGCGCTCAGGAATAATCAGGCATAACTTGCATTTGACCAAGATGCATTGACCATTTCCATAATAAATTGAGCATACAACTAGCACATAACATGCATGTTTGCATGTGAATTGCTAAAATCAGAGCACATCATTGCAAACATTGAGAGCATGCTTCGAATAAATAAGATCCTCAAATTTTGTAGAATTCATTTGAAAATCCAAAACTTACGACAAGCCATAGTTTCTGACTTATAAGATTTTGAAGTCATGATCCCACTACTACCATCACAAATCAGATCAAACATTTGTGTTAAACAAGAGGGGAATGCATTCTCTGTAAATTCACACAATTCTACACTTTTAGTTTCTCCCTTTCAATAGATAAAACACACACACAAACACATTACAATTTAGTGCATAAGAAATCGCATCACAAAGTTAAAGGTACCAAAGAAAAGTTGAGACTCCACTTGGTCGATACTTTTGCTATTTGATCTTTGGTTTTTTGAAAAGTTGTTATGAAGTAAAAGTAACAGGTAAAAAATAAAATTATAATTTATTAGAAATGAAAAAATATTATATTCGAACATTTGACTCAATGATAGTTAAATATATCTCTCTACTCAAAGTATTCAAAGAACCTGATTCAAATCCTTCCTGCCTCAAATAGAAAAAGAAAAAAAAAAGAACAAATAGTTAAAATGTCAAAGCAATTGTAGAAGAATTAGTCTATATAAAAATAGAAGCAAACCTTTTCCCGTATAAAGAACTTACATATCCTATGTATAAACCTTCAAAAAAAATTTTTTTTTTTTGCATTCAAATGTGCTTTTTACATTTTTGCTTCCAGGACCAAAGGAAAGTAACAAAAGTGCCTACTAAACAGAAGCTAAGTAAATACACCATCTCTATTTGTTACAAAAACATTAAAAACCAAATGAATTCATTTGAATTATTTGTAAATGAGTTCTTCTATAGAATTCGATTTCTTTTTATTTCTTTCCAACTGTTCCAATTGCAAACAAGAGGATCTCTAAAGACCATTTGTGCTGTCCAAAGGTAAATAATGTGCCAGCACCATTTACAGAAAACAAGTGAAAAATCATTCATTATCAACATCTGCACGGTCAGTAGAGGGCTAACCTAAATAAGTAACATGATCCCTTGAATGAAAATGTCAAGATCAAACATTTGTTTCAGTATGAATCAATTATACAAAGAGAAAAATGAAAGACAGTAAGATGAGGCAATAACGCCACTCACCACAATCGATAGTTCTTGGAATTAGAATTGGCAATCTGTTGAAGGAAATCCAGTCCATCATACAAATCAGCATTAAGGGTCTGGAGTAGGAGTCGCCTAAAATGCCACACCTTCACCCACAATAAAAAAGAAATATAGAGTTTAATGAAGGCATTAAAAAGAAGAAACAAGGCATATACTAGATATATATATATATATATATAATATTACAGTGTAATTGCCAGGATTGTCAAGGATGGCTTGGCGGGTGAGATGGGGGGCACGAGGGGAGCGTTCATCAGCTCGGTAGAGGGCTCGAAAGTAGTCCATTGTTTCCCGGAATTCTTCCTTGCAGGCTATGGGGACTACTGGATTCGGAACATCATCATGGAAAACAGGGGTCACATCACACCACTCAGCACTCCTGCTCAGCGGCTGTCCATCATCTTTATTTGATTCCACTTCAGTGTCTGCTTGCTGCCTACTGCTTGGACTGGTTTGGATCTTATCAATATTATCAACTCACAGTCACACAGGTGTCTTTTTCTTTTCTTTTGATGGGAACTTCAAACTTGGGAAGTGCGTATGTCCGCTGCCTACCGCTGATCCCTAATGGATAGAAAGAAAAATCTTTGCACCGAATCAAATACTGGTCACCTAGTTTCGAAAAGTTTAGGATTACCAACACGCTTTATCCCAGTTTTTTCCTCCAATAAATTTTCATCCAATTTTAAGGGCTTTTATGGAATGTTGTGGGCCTTTTCTTTTTTCGAAAATTTGGTTGGTTATTAGCCCAATTGAGATCCAAATAATCACAGATTGGACTTTGGTACTTAAATCTATACCCTAACCCCTTCTTTATTCACATAAAATGTTTTTGATTTTTTTGTAAACAAATGTTTTGCTTGTGTTTTTATTTTATTTTATTTTATTTTATTATTAAGTAGCAATTTGTGTGACAAGCGTTGAGCTTATTTATTTGAAAATTTTGTCATGGAAATATTCTTGGTAACTTACTAGTGTTAATTTCTTTAATGAATAAATTGCATGTCAATAATACTGCAATAAAATGTACTCATGTTTTGGTAGTAAACAACAAGTAACTTTGTTGAAATTTGGATTTGATTTCAAATATTTTTAGTTTGTTTTTTATACACAAAGTCTAACACAGACCATCACAATTAACTTGCAAACGAAATTTATTGAACGAAGCATATATATAGCAAAAATTTTTATAATCTAAGAATGGTAAGTCTCAATATTTTCTCTTCGAATAACCATTACTTTGATATTGCATTAATATAAAAAAGAAATTCAATTATTTATATTTCGAATTTAAAACTTAAAAATATTTTTATTTATATATAATTATTATGAGTTAACATTATAAATAGTCTCTGAATTATAATAAAATGTTCAATATGATATATATATATATATATACACTTTAAATATATCTAATATGGTATATAAACTATAAATCTATTAATTAATATGATACTTGAATGATTATTTATCTATTATATGTTATCATTTAAAATTAACCATATTAAGGATAAATATCATATTAGTTAATAAATTCATAATTCATGTACTACATTAAAAAATTTTAAAACTCAAATATTAAATTAAATATTTTATTATAATTTAGAGACCATTCGTAATGTTAACCCAATTATTACCGATCAATTATTATTGGTTCATCTAAATGCACTTTTTTAAAATATTTTACAAAAACTAAGTATTTGAAAATTTAAGTATAAATCATTTTAAAAATAAATTTATAATATATACAATAGGTATACGTTACTAAATAATAAGAAAATCAAAATATTGAAATCCGAGTTGAATTTATGATTTGAAGTAGAGTGTCCATAAATATCTTTAAAAATAAAAAAATTTTAAAAATTTGAAAAAAAATTAGACACTTTTAAAATTTTCTATAGACATACTTTCTGACAATAAAATTATTTTTTTAAATGATTTACAAATCTATAGATAATAAATAATTTTAAAATTTAAAATAACAATGTAATTATTAATAAAATAAAAGAAGCAATCATATGTTATATTATACTACAACATACATAATTTTTTGATAAAATTTACTTAGGTGAATGTTTAAGAGGATAATCTATACTATTGACACATATGATAGTTTTAAATAAATTTATTCAATCAATTATTTAATTTTTAAAAATTTTAAAGTTTAAAAATTTTAAAGTTTCAAAATTTACATTTATCTTAATTTAAACCTGATAAAATATATCTCGTACCTCACTCTTATTTATGTATATGAAATATAAAATTTAAATAGTTTTTAAAAGTTAAATCCCTAAATCTTAGAAATTATAAAAAATTATATACTATCTAAATCAATATTTACATAAATTTAAATAAATAAAGTTTGTCATTGAACCACTATTATTTACTAATTTTTTTTGCCTTTATTTGTCTATAATTTAAAATAAAAAAGAAAGATATCTTATTTAAATTTAAAATTACACACATATTTAAATTTAAAATTATACTAACCTCTTTTATCTTAATTTAAAATTAAACTTGGATAAACTACAATTTTAAAAATTTAAAATTTTTTAAATTAAATAATTATTAAATATATATTTATAATTTCTTCTCACAATCAATATTTTCTTCTTTATAAAAAATAGGGCAATCAAATTTTCATCACAAAAATTTGACATGATAAAGTTTCAAAATTAAACATGAAAAAATCTTTCATGATATATCACATATGTAAATCTTAGTTTTTATACTAAAATAATATATATACTTTATATAATTGTGAACAAAAAATTGACTTTTTCATTTAGATTTATATTATATCAGGCATGGCTAAAGATCATCAGGTAGAGGCTCAAATGATGGGCATGAGGATCACCCACCTACAGAAGGGAAAGGAAAGCTAGTTCGGGAGATATGCTAACATCTATGGATACCCTACTAGAGAATTGTTAGGTTGCCATTGCAGATATGTTGGCTCTTTTATAGTGGCGTCGTAGGTATGATAGTATCCAACGTGGTGAGCAAGCAATCACCACCTGGGATGAGTTTGTGGTAGAACTACGGCAACAGTTCAAGCCATGGTATGCAGGAGATGAAGCTCGAAGGAACCTTTGTCAGCTTACTCAAAGAGGAAGAGTGCGAAATTATTAAAGATAGCTCTTAGATTTGTTGCTGTTCATCCAAGATATGAGCAAAAAGAAGGCATTAGTCTCCTTCATGGATGAACTGAAGCCATGGGTAAAAACCGATCTGTAACAAAAAGGCATGCAAGAATTGAGTTGGGCCATTACAGTAATAGAATCTTTGATTGAGTTTGAATGCATTAAGTTTCTAAAATTTGTAAGGAAAGGCAACAATGGGATACACCAGTAGCAGCTCCTTATCCAACGAGGGGCGTTGATGAGAAACCCAAAATTCACGAGACTAAAATCGACAAAGCTGCCTCAGACAAAGGCAAGGAGTGGAAGCCTCGGAGTTGCTTTTTGTGTTCTATTCTGCATCGGGTTAAGGAATGCCTAACGTGTAAGGATTTACAACCATTGTGCTGACTAAAAGGTCTCAATGATATTTTAGTAATATTTTGATAATATTTTAGATTGATAATATTATTTTAGTAATATTTTAATTTAATTTAATTTTGATTTAGAGAATATTAAATATTGATTAAATGATTATATGAATAGATTTAGTCATTATTTTTATTTATTGTATTTTTTATTTTGTAACGTTTTACATTTGCATAAATAGGCTTTAAGCCTCATTATAAAACATAAGTTATTATAATAAAATTTTCATCATTTTCTTCTTTTTTATAGTATCAGAGTGATTTTATTGTTTATTTCAAAAGTGAATCACCTTGAAGTAACTAATATTTACTTATTCTCATATTTGGTTGATTTTCATTTCTAACTTTAATTTTGTTTCCACGCTTCATTTTTTTTTTGTTTTCTCTTTCAATCTTTAAGATTCATCTTTTATATCAATACTCATAACTTTCCATATCTCCATTTAATTTTTTTTTCAAAAGCTTAATGGCAGGTATTCAATGAGAAAATGTACAATCAATTTCAATTATCCTTGATGAAAATAACTATAATAAGTGGGTTACGGTTATGAGTCATCATCTAAAGGGAATGAAATTATGGCTTGCTGCTATCAGAGAACGGAAAGTACCAAAAAGAAAAAAAATCTGATGATAAATTTGCAAATCGATAAGAGGAATGGAAAAGTAAGAATCATGGAATTCTGACATGGTTCACTAACACCACTCTTCCTTTTATCAATGTATATTTTGGACAATTTGAACTTGCTAAAGATGTTTAAGATTTTTTTATCACACGATATAGCTTTACTATCTTTGCTCATCAATATCATATTTTGATCACCTTATCTCTCTTTCGTCAAGAACCAAGTTAGTCGATTAATGATTTTCATTCTAAAATGCAACATTTATGGGATATGCTTGAAATTTCTGAGTCAAAATTCAAGGATGAAAGTGATGCTAGTAATTTTATTCCTTATCAAATCAAATTCATCTTATTCAATTTCTAATAACATTTTGAGATGAATTTGAGAATATTAGGTCTTCACTTGTACGCTGACATCTATTATTAACTATGGATAATGCTCTTATGGAATTGATATTTGAGAAAACTTAGTTGTATATGAGTCGGACTCATAGTGATGATACTATTATTGCTATTACTTCTCAGAAAAGTATTAGTTCTACTTTCTACAAGTCTTGTTAATGATGTGAGAGGACTAATCATCCCATTCAAAAATGTAGAGCTAAATATCATCGTAATGGTAGTTTAATTCATGATCCTTGCATTAACAAAACTGCTGTGATAACAACCACTAAACCAAACATTTTGTAGTCTTTTTTTGAGACCATTACAATCTCCACCACTAATATTCAAACTTTGCTTAATCAAATATTATCTTGATCTCATGTTTAAACCATGTTTGCTGCTACATCAAGTAATATTTGGTTGTTTGATACTACTTGTGAAAATCATATGACCGCTAATCCTTTTTTGTTTAAAAGCAAGATGCTTATACCTGATGGTTTAATCATTAAAACAATAAATGAGCCAAGGGAGAAGGAGACTGAGTCACCCTTGGAGGTGCTAAAGGTGCTGAAGACCTTTAGTGATGTGATGCCCACAAAGCTGCCTAGCCAGCTACCTAGCCAGCTACCACCTAAGAGGGAGGTTTAATATTCAAACTTTGCTTAATCAAATATTATCTTGATCTCATGTTTATACCATGTTTGCTGCTACATCAAGTAATATTTGGTTGTTTGCTACTAATGGTTTAATCATATGACCGCTAATCCTTTTTTGTTCAAAAGCAAAATGCATTAACAAAACTGCTGTGATAACAACCACTAAACCAAACATTTCGTAGTCTTTTTTTGAGACCATTACAATCTCCACCACTAGTATTCAAATTTTGCTTAATCAAATATTATCTTGATCTCATGTTTATACCAT